GCTTGCAAGTTGTTAATTTAAATTTGAATGCACTTACATATGTTTTTGGACTTTTGATTCTAAAATTCTGCTTAAATAAAACTGTTCTGCTCAGTATTCAATTCATTATTTTTAATTCTATTTAAAGTTTCCAATGTAATTGCTTTTTACCCACCATATTGTGTAAACAATAGGTAGGTTATGTGATAATCAACTTTTGGGATATTTCAGGCCTCGGGAACTGCATTTTTTATCGGGCTTGTTTTACATTTTTGATTATTATGAAGAAAATATTCAACCGATTTGCTTGAAATTTCATATATATAAGCTTCGCTCGGCCGTCCGCGAAACCTCCTTACTTCCAGCAGAAATCAGGCGTCAGCAGCTGTAGGTTTACTACGGGCCAAATATACATTTTTGCGTATATAAAGAGAAATAATTAACCGATTTAATTGAAATTTAATATATAAATTCTTCGTACTAAAACAATGAACATATAAATGTTCATTGGAAGAATTTTGGAAAGATCAGGGCTCGAAAACTGATCTGCGGGCCGATTTTACGTTTTTCACCATATCTACGGAACGAATTGATGGAATTTCTTGAAATTTGATATTTGAGTTCTGGTTGTTACTGAAACTAATTGGCGAGCATTTCAGGGAATTCGGTTAGCACAAAGCGAAACTGTACTAAGAGCCAAATTTACATTTTTCTGGGTATGTTAACTATACTTACTAATGTCCTAAAAATTGGAAAGAAGTGCTTGACAGACATTTTTATAATATTCTTATACATAACACTTTCACTTAACTAGACAATTCAGATTGCGGTCGGTTATGTGCTGACCACATCAGGTTTTTTTTTATTTTAATGAAGAATGTAGTAACGTTTCCATTATTATTGCAACTTGTATATATTCTACATTTCTAAGTACAACACTATTGACACATCAATAATCAAATTTAATTCTACAATTTATAAATTTAAAAATTTTGCCATATTAGTTTTAATGAATATTGTTTGGGTTAAAATTATGCAATAATACTACATGGGTACCACAAATATATTCATTAGTAAGCAATTATTTGAGTCATTGTAAGCACATCCTTATATTTATACTAAATTTTGTATCTAGGTACTTATTACTAATAAATGTTGTGTAAAAAATACCAAAACTTTCTTAATACATTAAAGTGTAGTAATAATATACGCACAATTGAATTTAATGGGCTCAGAAAACTACGGTACAGTATTCTACAATTTTTTACATATGAGTTCATTCAAACTTTAATACTAACCACATTATTACAATATTATGTGTGTGCATGTATATGTATGTTTATAAAACTTTAAATTAGAATCGAAGAATATAAGCAAGATATTTTTTTATGAAATTTTTTAGTATAAATTCGATTTTGGGTTTAATTTTTGTGAAAAAGAAAATATTTCTGAAAAAATTGCTTTGTCTTTTTTTTTCTTTATGCGTTTTCAGAAAATTTTTTCTTATTATTATATTTGACCTTTTCTTTAAATACAATACTGGTATATTGTTATGACTATGAGAAAAAATATTTTATTCATATTGTAGCTACATGCGTAGGTATATATTAAATGTATATGTATATTTTGAAAACTCATTTAAGTACATACAAACATAAATGTACATTTTATAAGGTATAGGGATGAAAACAATTACATTAAAAATTTCCTTGAAATTTTTTTGTTTTAATATTTTGAAAAGAAAAAAGAACTGTAATTTAAACCGAATTATTTTTTTCACAAAAGTGTTACCGTGTTGCATAATTATGTAGACTACTGAATTGAAAATTGTATATGCATATACTTAGTTTAATCACAGGACAAGATGTAGGGAGTTTTTATAAATATTTTGTACAAAACACTTGATAAAAAAATATGATAACAGACAGGAAATATTTTTCAAATTATCTAAAAAAAAATATGAGAGATTTTTTTAAAACGACATTAACATTTTTCTTTTTTAGCTTGTAAGCAAACAATGCTTTTGTTTTACAGAATTTCGGAAAAATTTATTAAAAATTTATCCTGCTTTTTAAGAAATGTTATTGAAAAGTACGTAAAAACCTCAACTAAAAGAAGCACTTAACGTGTCTAGTTATGCTTTTTTATGTTTAAATTTTGGAAATCGCAGTTACCTAAAAGATATTAAGTAAACCAAGGTATAGTAAGCCATAAGACTTTAGTAAGCCTGGTAATTATGAAAACCAACTAAAATTGCATGAAATTGCCGATATACATGACTTATTTACATGACATGACTGATCTATTTCTTTTTTTATTTTAATAATCAAAGTAATTTCTTTGAACCTAATCTGTATTGCCTTCTTATTTGATAGTTTTAGTTTTCTTTCTCAATAAATTAATACCCTAGTTTTACTAATAACAAATATTTAATTTTTAATATTGACACCATTTAAATAGTACGGCTTGTTTTTTTAGATTACCAGATTTTAACGATAAAAATTCCTAAAAAAATATGTATGTTAATTCCTGAAAAAATATTAAAGAGTTGAGTAAAACAGCGTTCATCGAGTTACAGGGAGTTCATATAGTTCAAGATATTTCATGCTTTTTTATCCTTCACTACTTGATTACAAAAAAAAAAGTTTTAAAATAAGTGCTTGTTATGATAGAAATCTTGAAGAAATATTGGAAATTTAAATTCTCCATTGTGTTGAACTTACGGCAATTCTAAAGTTTCTTAAATTTCTAAAAACTTGGAAGCCTCTTTTTATATATGAATGAATGCACTCATACACGTTTATGCTATTGTTTGTTCGGATATATAGACATAATGATAACTGTACGTTCATATTAACTGAGTATGTACGTATGTTGGCATACATACGTGTAACATCTTATCATTTTATGGTATGGAATTATATTATTAATTTTTCCTGCTTTTTCATTATTATTTTCTTTTTGTTTTAAATTTTAGGAATTTTTTTTATCTTTTATTTAAAAGAAATTTTTTTCTGAAATTTAGATGTTTTAGTTGTACATTCTTATATGCAAACATATGTATATGTTTTTTCCCATACGAACATACACACATGTTTGTATGTGATTTTATATTTTACAAATTACATAATATATGGAGAAATCTATACACACAGAAGCACCTATGTATTTGAGTTTAAGTTATTTTTTTTTTGTAAGGAAATGCTTTGTTTACAAATTAATTCTAGAAAATGTGTAAATTTAAAAATAATATCCTTCTTGTCTGCGTTTATTTCTTCATTTTATACCATTTCTGCTGTTTAATTTTAAGGAAGATAGAAAAATAAAAAAAAAACAAAATATTAAGTATTTTTTTAAGGTATTTTATGGTACATGCCATATATTTTTGTTGTTTTTGTAAGGATCTATATAACTTCTTCTATGGTTCATTTTGATATTTTTCTTTGTCAACATTATTTTTTTGGGGAATTAAATCTTTCGAATTATGCCATTAAATGGTTGTAGAATTTAATTTAGAAATTAAGATGGAAAGGAAATGTTCATGGAAATGAATTAAGATATGTGATGTCTATGGAAGGAATTAACAACAAAAATGTGAACTTCCTTTTTTTTTAATTTTTCTTTTTTTATTTCTGTAATTGAGTAATTTTTTTTTGTTTGTTCTTAGAGAGAAGAAAATCACTTAATCGTAGAAATAAATTTCAATTTTTACCCAAGTAAAACTTTATAACAATTAAACTGAGAAAGAGAATTTTTTGAATAAAAAAAAAGGATTGTAACATTTTTCTTAATGAAGTAAGTTATAAAAACATAAAAAATAAAAAGCCAAAGTTGTATGTGAAATGAAATATATGTAGTGTTAAATGTACACATCCTCTAACATATTAACATTATATTGTAATACGAGTAAATAACGAAAAACAAATAGAAAAAATAAAAATTCTTTATTTTATGCTTCAAAATTAATTAAAAATTTTGATAACAATTCTACACACTATTCCCAATTTTTAAATTGTCCAATTCAAATTTTATTTGCCATTAATGTGTAATAGTATTTGCGTATGTACAGATCTATATTTCGAAACTGTGACATCAGTTTTGAACCTATAGATCCTTAAAACGGTTAATTTATTTATACCAATTTTCTAGTTCCTGTATTAGTTGCAGAAGCGATTCAAAACTGTCGTTAATAAGAACTTTTCCTTTGAATAGGAAAATCACGTGTATTTCTTTGAATTTCGTAGACTTAGAACAAGAAAAGGATAACTGAAAAATATCTGGTACGTCAAATACAAAACTTCTTAATAATTTTCGCCCATGCACATGTGTGGAAAATTCGTAACACTATTCGAACACATGTTCGTTCGAACTGGGATGAATGCAATTATAATTATAATTTTTGCAACCTTTGTAAAACTATAGAAATCCATACGCATTTAAAATGTAATTCCAAATGTATTTTCATTCATCGTTGTTTCGAAAAATTTCATAAGAACTTTTTGACTTATGAATTATTACGGTAATATAACGTTATAACTTAAACTCCTTTGATAATTATACTTGCAAAGTGCAGTTTTTGGAGTGCTACAGTATATACTAAAATAACCTTTTTAAAATCAAATAACAAATTTTTAATTTCATTCTAAGGGACATGGAGTTTAAGCAAAATTTATGGAGATAGATCTTAAACTATTTCAAAATTTTAAGATTTTTTGTCTGTTTAATAAATAGTTTGAATTCTAAGATTATGCACCCCAGAATTGATCCATCACGTAATCAATGACGAAAATTAATTTTTTACTGGAATGAAAACAGTATTGAAACTGGTTTTTGTAACCGGAACGACTACCGAAACAGAATATGATAACATGTAAAATAAATAATAGAATAAATAGAATAAAAATTTCATGGCCGAAATTGGTGATGTGCCTGGAATAATATGTACCTATCGTGTATGACTCAGTACAGAATTAGTAGTTGGAAAATTATATTACGGTAAGTTTCATAATAAGTGTACTTACATATCAGCCTTCTCATTTTATTAAAATCTGAAAATATAAAACAAGTAAATAAAAAGTGTTATTAATCGCCAATTATTTCTTAAAAGTATGATTGCTAATATTTATAATGCCACTAAAAGTGAAGAAGAATTTGAGAACAAAATATGAAATAAAAGATTTTAGATATTAAAATTTTCAGATAATTTTTTTTTAGCATTAGAAACTTTATGAAGGACATTAGAAATAAAAACTTTTGTCCCATAATTTCCGCAAAAATAAAATTTATATGCAAACATATTGAGATGATTTCTCTAAGAAACAAAGATTTTTTTTAAGGTTCAAGGTTTTAGAATTTTTTTCGTAAAGTTAACCGAAAGTGGCAAACTTAAATTTTTCCAATTCTCCTTTAAATGTTTTTAGTAAATACTAAAAACGTTTTAAAAGAAATTGTCAAAAACAACTGTTGTAAAATTTGTGTATCTCTACTCTTCTGCAAACTTTTAAGGAGAAGCATATTAAAATTACAGAAACAAGGATCAGCAAAATGTTCATGTGTTTTCCCTATATATTGCATTTAATATCAGAATTTTTATTGTATCCTTTGACCTAGAAAAATTAACCTTTGAAAATTCTTTCATTATAAAATGGAAGCATAACATACATTTATAAATTTTTCATTTCATTGAATTGGTAGTTTTTTAATATTTCTTACATGTGAATCGTCATTTTAAACATGAAAATAATAAAAATTGCTCAACACCATCTGATTTCCCTATGGTGTTGATTTTTATTTTGTTTTGTTCCTTTTATACGCGTAGTGTATGTATGTATATATATGTTTATAAATACATACATATAATGTACACAATTTTCATAATTTCTCTAGACAACTTAAAATTTTTGCACTTGAAAGCTTAACTTATTTTCCATGAAACGAAACGAAATCGTAATAAAAGAGACAAAATTATGTTTGTTAAGTCAAATGTTTTACTATATGTGATGATACCGGATGATGTTATTACGAGTACAGTTGACAAGTTTATTTATAGCTACGAATGTGTTAAATGGTGTATCTATATAAATAAAATTGTAAATTTTCAAATTATCAAACAAATATTTTGCTATGAGCTTTCTTTAATCTTCTTTAATTTTTTAAAATACATTGACATTTTATGATGAACTTAGTGAAATTTTATGATTTGATAGGGTCATAGAGAAGGTTATAGGACAATCGGCAAATTTTTATCTATTCCAATATCCATGCTTTTCGATCAAACGCATAATCATATAGGCAAGCATGATCATTCTACATTAAAACTAGAGCTTTAATAAAATTAGAATGATCAATATTGTGTTAGAATGATCAATTCAAAATTTTTAAATATTTTTTAGTATTTTATGACAGAAAAATATTGGAAATCGTCAAAAATCTAAAAGTTTTTTGAAAATTCAAATTCCAAGTTTACTGCACCTCAACATCATCGAAATTTACGAAATCAATTTTAATAGAATATTTTCAGTCTTTATTCAATTAGTGAATAAATTATTAATTTTCTTTAATTTAAAAGTATGCCCAAAGAATTCTTCAAGAGATAATAGACGGGGTCATTAATTATGTTAACAAAGTATACTGTGTATAAAATCACATCCTTTTTTACTCAATTTTTAAAATTGCTCTCAAATCTGTTCCTTAAACTTTCTAATGATTTAGAAAGTAATTCAGATCAATTAATGATTTTATACTTTCTAATTTGTCAGAAACGTACAGAAAGAGAGATCGTCACAAAAAGGAAAAAAACACTCTTTTTCAATCAATATTTTTCAATCAACAAAAATATAAGCGAGATACGAAGAAGTGAAATTATAAATGAGGGTAGCAATTTATTTTTAGTTTTTTAATTCTACAAGACACAACCACACAAGATTGAAATTCCAATCTTGCATGGTCTTAACCCAGAAACATGAAAATGTTATTTTTTCCTGTATACATATTATGCTATAACTGTATGTTACCATCAATTACTGAAGGTTACATGGATTATAGACATAATATACATTTAGACATTTTTTTATAGTATTTTGGAAAAAGATCTTCATGAACCATCAATTTATTTCATTTACTACATTACTTTAATTTCCCATTTTGATTTTTGCTTGTTAATCTAATGATTATAAAAAAGATGAACATGGCATGCACATAAGCATCCTTCGAACCTTTTTTTTGAAAAGTAATTTCCTCTATTTGATTTTCTTAAATAAATCATTTTTGCTCATATACTCGTATCAAAATTACCATGAAATAATGTTAAAAAGTATTGCGAATCTTGTATTATTGTATATTATTTTTATAGGAAAATTCTTTGAAGACTACCACATTATTTAAAGTTTGCATTTATATGAAACAGTTGTTGTCTTTTTGGGAATTGATTATTGCGTTATTTCTTAACTTGAGGCTATAGATAACCTAGGATTATTTTGGAGAAATTTTATAATTTTCACGTTATTTACTTAAATTTCTTCAAATCTTTCACTTTTAATAAGGATAACATGTCGTATACATCCACTGAGAAAAAATTTAAACTAATTTGGATATATTTTTTATAAACACAACAGACGCAAACTACCTATATCCGAAATTACGACAACCACACTTTATACATAACTAATTTTCACAGAAATTTATTTCCTACTTCTTTGTTTTTATTTTGAATATAAAATATATATACTGTATTTAAATTAGTCCTCCTTTTGATCTGTTTATGAAAATAAATTATCTAAAAAAGAAATTTGTCAATAAGCTACAAAAATTTCGTATATATATTTTAGTCAAATTCAAAATATTTTTCCAGGAATTGAGAAATAATTTTAGTCACACATTACAAACAAATTGTTTTATTAATGTTTTATATGCCACTAAACCTAGCTCCAAGTTTATTGGAATACAAAACATGAGAATGTAGGTGAATAAAAAACCAAATCGTTTTTTATTCAGCTATATTTTATTTTGGAAAACAAAACAGGACTTTTGCCAAAAGAGCTATTTATACATGCACTTTCATTTCAACATTCGTATATCAAAGTTGGTTTATCTACGAAATTGCTATACATTATATGCCTTTTAGTTTTATTTTGTCCATATAATTGAAATAATTTTAGCGCGTTTGACTATAAGAAGCATTAAAATATGTTTATGTTATATACGAGTAACAGTGATGAGCAACCATTTTTTAAATTGGGCTAAATGAGAAAAAGCGATCGTTTCCCGGGCCGCAGTTATAGCAGATTTATTTTCCAGTTTCAATAATAAGTAAGTTTATTTTCAGTAATAAGTAACTTCAAGGCATTTTGTAGTTATTTTTAAATGTTTATTGAATGTGTCTTAGATATTATAATTATTTTCTTAAACTTAAACATATTATTATAAAAATAGTGATTGAAAAATTATAATAAGAGAAAACAATAAGAAGTATTAAAAGTTTTAATGGAAAATTTGACACTGCTTCTTGTCCACAAGTTTATAAATATTTGCGGGTGTATTAGAAACTGCGACACGTAAACAGGTTGGAACCTTTCATCAGTCAGTCGATTTCGAGCTGATTTCTTGTTAATTTTCATTTTTGAAAAAAGCTGTGGTGGGTTTGTTCGATGAGCTTCCATACAACTCCTTCCTAGAGAAAACCGATATCTTTGAATCTGTTCATGCTACATACTTCAAGTTTTAGGAAAAGTCGTCAAGTCTTGTGCCTACAAAAAAGCTATAATGTGGAGGTTGACAACAATAAGTAAATAAGTGAATAAGTGAAACAAACTTAATTTTTTTTAAGTCGCAAAAAAAAAATTTGTCAGCCCGCTGGTTGCTCATCACTGTTATATAAAGAGAATTTCTACTTTGAGAAAATTACGAGTTATCAAATAGTTTATTTACAAAGGAAAAATATGATTTTCGAAATGGTTTGTGATCATTTTAGATGTATTTTTTTTCCAGTGTTTATAAGAAAATATACGGAAAATTAATTATAAAATCATTCAAAGTATAATAAACAACAAGATAGTAAACAACAAGCAACAAGAAGCAAAATTTTAAATAAAACAAAATTAATTTTCCAAATCTTAACACGTTAAATATTAAAGTAAATTTGTTCTTCACAATATTTAGTTGGGTGACTTAACTACGTAAACTAAAATCGCACGAGGGAAATGAATTGGTCGTTTTCCCACTCTATATTTTTCTCATTATAATGCACACCGAAAATTTGTACCAAAAATATTTTATTGTGTTCAGTTATTCATTTTTCAAAATTTTTATAGTTTCTATATTAAAAAGCAATTTATTCAATAGTATATTTCGTGCACATAGGAACATGCTTCCGAATATTTACCATAAAAACCAAGTTTCTTCAAATTTAACATATGTATGTAATTTACAATATGTATGCATGTCATTTTGAGAACTTTTGAGAAAAGTTTATTTGAAATAAACTAAAAATTCTGTAACTACTTATAGAAATTCAATTAAAGGCCATAAATATTACATAATTTGTGCTACATAAAATTTTGACATCTCCGACTTTAGTTTATATTTGAAATTTATTGAAATTAGCATTATTATGCTAAATAAATATAAAGAATGATATAATAAAGTTGGGTCAAACCAATGGTTTGTATTGCAGCATTTTTATACTTTCAACAAGTAAAAATACTGCTTTTAAAAACAGTCTACTACACTATTAAAATTACATTTATTCATATACGAAACTATTTTTTAAAGGATTGCATATATTTAGGATGAGCGATTTATGCAGTCTTTGAAATAAAGAAAAATAAACTTAAATAGGTGTTAACATAATGCTCGATTTTAAGGGTTAATTACGTGAGTTAATGTCATGGAATTTACCGTTAGCTTTCTGCGTTTATAGAAATTTGAAAAAGCTTGTGGTTTCGGATATACAGGGTGATTCAGGAAGGTATACAACAACATAATTATATAAAACATTTGTGCCGGACTCGGTGCCAAATCTCAAAGGTTTCTGAGTTCCAGGGATTTTAAC